CGATCCAATCTACTTTCCCACCTGTTTGTTTGTATTTTCCACGTTTTTCGTCTATTATGAGGTGTTTGCGGGACATCTTACCATGTCCATACGTGCTGCATTGCGCGCTGGAGGTTTAGTTGCCCTAGCTGGGGGTTCTTTTCTTCTCGGTGCCCAATATGGAAGCGAATCTCCTTTCAAGAAATTGCATGCGGCAACCGCCATATCGGTAAATTCGTTATCAAACCCTTCAGTTTTTCTCAAACAGTTAGAATTAACCGCGCAAGACATTTTAGCCAACTCCACAGTTACCGACTCTTCCATTACTACCAACTGAAGACGCAAAACCTCTAGGAGAATTTGGTCCATCGAGAGCTTCGGAAATAATGCGATATGGATTCCCAGGCTTTGACAACCTGCGAACTTTTGAGGACTTCGTGCTCTCATATGATAGGAAGACAAGAACTGCACACTGGGTTGGTTAACATCTTTTAATTGTGAAGAATTTTTGAATTACTTATGGATCGCAGAAAAAGAAAACCAAGTCAAAAATCCCACCATGAGGAGTCATAATCATAAGTAATATACTAAAATTTCATTATTTTGGGGCAAAGATCATGCTAAATCTGCCAAGAGGTATCTCTTCTCTGTATCCACGATTCGCGAAATCTAGTCACCAACACTTTTTGCTTTATACTTCGTTGCAGATGTACGCCATACGACCATAGATAACCATTTCCTAAGAACTGTCGAGAGCTTTAAAAAATTAATCGCTTTGGGAAAAGGTTTTGTCGAAATTCTATTCGACGCAGTAATTGCGATTGCACACCACACATCAATCTTGGAAACAGTATCTTAGTTTACCACAATGACTCATCCGCACTCTAGCCGTTTAGACGTTTTCGTTTTCTGGAATTGGTGTATGGTGTGCTTCTCATTACGACAAAGACAATCATACACTCAAGCAGCTGCCAATTTTATTTGCTCATCTACTGCTACCGTTATTAGACATGTTAGGCCGTTAAATAGT